TTGGTAAACATGCACGGGCCCGTGAAAATTTTATTCCAGTAAGTTGCTAACTCAGGTGCCAGGGAATTTAGAAAGATGAAAGTTTAAGGGAATGTTTTCTGACAATTCTGGTGGCCAGTCTTAATTTGTTTAGCTAGAAGCATTTGCCGAAAAACCGGTGCCGGAAGCAACAAAAACTGTGGGGAACCATGCAAAAAACGCATCTTCGCACGGGCAGCCCGTGTGTCGGCCGATTATTGCTCACTGTAGCAGCGCTGCAAAACAAAGATGCATATTGACAAGAGATTATCGGTATATATATATATATATACCGATGTATTGGTTATCGACATATAAATATATATATATACGTTGATAATCGGTATATATACATATATATACATATATACATGTATATACCGATTATATATATATGTATATATACCGATTATCGACATATATGTATTTACATGCCGATAACCAATATATATATATATATATGTCTGTAAATGTGCGCGCGTGTGCGTGCATGTATATGTGCTTTTTTGTTTGCGCGTGTATGCGCATATATGTGTAGATAGATGTGTGTACGTGTTTGTGTGTATGTGTGTGTGTGTGAGCGTGTTCGCACTTTTGTCGCCTACTTTCTACTCAGCAGCCGGTGAAGCTAGGAACCTGAGATTTCTGGAGCACTTCCCCTCCCCCAATTCGGTTTTTGAAACTCAGTTTCCAAAACCATTGTTCGCGTGCGTCTGGATCTCAAGTACGGATACCTAAACCGATTTATGTAAAATTTTTTGCTAGGAAAAGGATTTCGGAAACCAAACAAAGTAGGAAACTTAAACTCCACAGGGATATTCTGTGCCTATGTTTAAGATAGAGTTTTCAAATTCTGCTTGTGCGCATAGGCGTATCATGCTTACGGATATGGTAAAGTTGCGATCCCGCAAAGTTGGCAAAATCCAACTGAGAACTGGGATGATTACGCTCCTCTGATTTGGCGAAAATATTTGTTGTCCATGTGCAAATCCTTAGACGTGAAATGAGCGTTTGCAGATTCCTGTATTATACTTACAGGCATAATGAATTATTTTTGGCAGGAAGGCGATTTAGAAGTCAGCTAAGTTCGGAAGTTGAAATTTCCTAAATATGTGACGACACATGCGAGTCCAAGCAATTTCATTACAACATGAAATCTTGCAAAAATGCACGACCACAACACGTCTGGTACACACCGCAATCGATTGCATTTTGCATAAAGTAGCAAAATGCATAAAAATTGGCACACATTACTGAATATAGCACAGAGCTGTACGTCGCAGCGAAGCGGGCTGATACTCCTCCGTATGCACCTAAAACTCTGAGTCGCTTTCGTTGGATGAACCATTGAACCATCTTTTTAAAGTCGATAGAAGATCGCGCGGTTACCCTGGAATTAGTAAGCGTCAAAAGGGGAACTCAAGGGGAGTTGTGGCGACAGTGAAGACTGCAGCAGGAGGCAAACATTTGTGAAATAGGGTTTACTGTTAGTAAGAAAAGGCTTTTGCATATTATCTTTTCATGGTGGTTTCCATCATCACAGGTCAGCGCCTCTGTGCTGGTAGTTGCCAATAAAAATGCACATGATTGCTCAAGTTTATGTTTTTGCCGATTATTTTGAAAAGTGATTTATTAATGCAAAATGCATGACATTACTTCACCGAACTGCAGCCAGACATATCACTGATCAGTTGATACACGCATAGGAAAGTGTTAAGCTCGTTATGGACAATATAAACAAAAATTTAAGAGTTAACCGTAAATGAGCACACAAAGTGAAAATGTTGTCATGGCAAATCACCAATGGTGAAAGTTTTAAGAATTTCACCTTCCCAACAATTTTCAAGCACAGTGTTTTTAAAACGGCAGGCTGATGGCCAATACAAAAATGGCTCTTAAGTACAAACTCAAGCAAATTCAACAAGTTCAAAGCCAAAAAGTATAGAGGCATGAAACTCTGTCAAAAAGTCCCTGTTTTTGTATGAGGCCGGAAGCCAAAATCACCTTTCAAGTAGTCTTGCATCCTTGATCTCTGATTTTGGACCATCTTCCGGTTTGTTTACAAGACTTAAAAAAAAGTTTGAAACTTTGAAGGAGGAGGAGGGGAATTTTGATGTACAGGGTCAGAAACCGGAAAATTTTCAAATCTTGCGCCTTAAATTATAACTTCGCCCATATTTAGAGAGGGAACCGAAAAACAGAAGGCAAATGAAAAGTTTTTAGCAAGAATCAATAAAGAAATTTTGGGATAAATAGAAACTACTGAAACTGGACAAGGCTGGTCGCAGCCGCGCTATACGCATTCGTTTTTGTGGGTTCTCGGATTCGGGTCTCCTAGTGGTGTTTTTACACACCGTTTCCAAGCAACGTCTCAGCTCCTTTCCTCGCTGTCTTTTCGTTTGATCTCACCAGATCGCTTCTTTTCTCAAAAAGTGGTTTTAGTGGGCAGGAAACTTGGACTGATTTTGCCAACTATAAATTAATAAGGCTGCATTCGAAAAATATTGAAGAACGAAGCGAAGCTACAGTTAGAGGAAATCTTGCACGGCCTGTTTTATATCAGCTTATGAGTGCAAGATTTAAAAGTACTGGTCATGAAAAGAATAAAATGCCACTTCTCTTTCATCTTTTCATGTGCTTCCTCACTACACTTTGGGTTGAAGTCATGGTTACTAGATTTCGAACCTGAGAATGAGAGTACGGGATAGCTTTTTGGTTTAATAAAAAATCATGCCCAAGTAAGATACCACATCAAAATGACACCATGCACAGCAAATCAAACTTTCAAAATTACGAATTTTTAGCTTTGCCAGTTCTCCAGCTACAAACTGGCACAAATTTTGATCCTGGGGAGTCAGGGCGCAAAAAATGATTGAGTTGATTTTAGATTTTTGATCTTGTGGTTACAAGTTGATATAAAACAGGCCATGCAGATTTCCTCCAACTGTAGCTTCGCTTCATTCCTCAATCTTTTTTGAATGCAGCCTTATTAATTTACAGTTGGCAAAACCAGCCCAAATTTCTCGCTCACTGACCACTTATTGAGAAAAGAAGTGACCCGGTAAGATCAAACGAAAAGACAGCGAGAAAATCAGGACTCAAATCAGTTCAAAAGTTATTAGAGAAAAACAAAATACTATGACATAATTTACATAACAACCAAAATTAGTAGTTTTGGTGCCTTGTGCACCGCACATCAGTCACAATCAAGCAAACATTTTTTGTCATTCTGCCACTCTCGATCAGATGGAAAGCTGATTCGTTTCAACAAGCCAAAAACCCTAATGTGTCATCAGCTTGCTTCTGAAACAATTCCTCAAAAAAGGAGGGAATACCGACAATTTTCTCAGCACTGAATTGCTGCTGCTGATTGCAGCATATTCACTTGAATTCTAATTGAATTCATTCCGCCTAACTCACTACAAATAAAAGAAAAATTTTGTCTCGTTTTAAAGGACGAATGCTTCGATAAGGATTTGGGACCAGCAATGTTACAACGAAACTGAAAAGCTGCAGCAGATTGCATTCCCTTAATAAGACAAGGTGGATAAGCTCATATATGAATAACCAGTAACAGAAATAGATAGCACTGCATTTTAATTTACATTCCAGAAAATTTTTCAGCTTATACACATGTTTCTAGGCGCGGATACTTTTCTGATTTAACCCTGTTGCAAGGAATGGCTTCTGTTGTTGCCTGTCCTGAATATCTTTCCGACTGTATGCTGCTGATGCCGGATTGTGGCAATGCCTCTGGCTGCCTTTCAACATGCTCTGCTCCACTTCAGCTTCCGTGCAATCCACGCTGTCACCACTATGAATCCATTTGGGTGAACCCACATAATCTTCATTCAACGAACATTTTGTATCACCTCCATTTGTGCGTCGTAGTGGTAATGGACACTTCCTAGCACCGCCCGTTTCTCTAAAAGTAGATTCTGTTTACATAGTAATATGCTTTTGAGAGTAATTTGAAATACCAAAAACTGAAAGTATCGTAGAATCCAGCGTAAAATTCCAGAAAAACAACTGCGTTATTTTCTTGGCCTAATTTGTTGCTACACCGCTTAAATGTTCGCTGAACACTGCCGTTGTTATGAATAAATGCTGTAATGGTAGGGCGGTTCCATCACAACGAAGGATGATGTTGGATGTCCTGGTCTCCTAGTGGTGCTTCTACACACCGTTTCCGGATCAATCCTACAAATATAATGGTCGTAGACGTGAAGAAACAAGTGCACTGCCCGTTATATTCTACGTTCCTCCCTAATGCTAGTATTTACAGGCATGCTGGCTATTGAGTAAAAGCAGATTCTTTTCCAAAATTCTTGAGAAAAGCATACTTTTGTAACTTTTTTACAGGTGAAGTGATTGGTTGTGAGAAATATGCGGCTGAGTGGTGTGCGCAGCGATCACTCTGAGTTGTACTGTTGGGCATTAGGCGTTGTTGCTCACAGGGAGGTGCGGGTGCTTTCGGAGGAGGTAGGTTTGGAGGTGGCGGTCTAAAGGATGAAGAGTAACGATTACTGCACATGCTATGTACCGTTTCGCTACTTTTCGTAGCTTGATAATTCTTTCGTAGGAAGTGGATGGCGTAGGTTATTATAACGAATACAGCCAGCAGCACCAGAAGACCGCCATAAAAATATGGACTCGATAGCATGCCGTGTTGATCTGATCCTGAATTAACACTGCTTCATTAACATTATAAATAGCATCGGGCACCAGAATAGCCGGTGCAGTCATGCGTTTTGTGCAATTCCATCCACCGAACAACTATCTGTTAATGATTTTCACTGCTTTGCACTTTGGTCTACGCAAAAATGGTTGAAATGTTGAAAAATAATTCAAAATTTCACGCACTGATATGCGAAAGCTGAATTTTAAACCTCGAAGGGTGAATATCCTTCCAAATTTCAGTCTCCTATTTTTCCGAC